ATTTTTGCGATTTGTTAATTAATAGGAATGATCTGCAAGGGTATATAAGCTTCGGCTGGCCGAAGCTAGCTTCCTTTCTTGTTTAAAAGAGAATTCCCTACAAATTATGATGGCTCTAAGATATATGTGAAAGTGACAAACAAATCTAGATTTTAATAGTTAAAAATGAACATATTCCTTAGTGTTTCAAATGTATATAACCTGGCATGGCCCATTAAAATTAATGACAATTTTGGGTCTTATTTTTCCCTGTGCTTGGAAAGGCCAAGAAGAAGAAGGGGGAAATGACAGGCGGGTTCGATAATGAAGTTAAAAATTCCATACATACAAATACAAACAGACAGACAGAGAAAGAGAGCGATAGAGAAGGAAGGAGAAGGGACGAGGGTGCCATACAGACAAGGATGCAGTTGTTGTTGCTGCTGCTTCTGTGGCATTTGCCTTTGGTATTTATGAGTACGTTGTCCTTGATATGCCTGCGGAATTACTAAATGTCCCTGACTTGACACTAACTCACACGCACAGCCAGTCAGGACACACACTTCCACACTCACTCACACAACCACCCCCCACACACACACACTTGCGCATCATCAGCCATTCAGTCATTCATTCAGTGCGAGAAGAGCTGTTGCTTAACTCTGTCAGCAATATGTTGGTTGCCACGCCCCAAATCCCCTGCCCACCGACACCTTCCTTTTTTCGTACTTACTTATACATATATTTTTATCTTCTACGTGCAGCAATGGACCCAAGGCGAAATTTAAATAGAAATAGCATGTTGATGTTATTTGGAGTAGGTTCCTATTTAATTTAATATGCCAGTCTCTTCCCTGACTTCGTCACATGGGTGTGTATAAATATTTTAATTTATTTTTGCGAAAGCAAAGGCGACATCAAACTAACTTCATACATGTGCATACAAAAATAGTAGCAAGCTGAATAATTGTAGCTGCCATAAAAGTAGAATGCAATTTTTCAAACTTTTCTCATTTAACAGTGTAGTGTAGCGTTTTTGGTTTTTGATTAAAAATATAATAAAACCTAAGTGCATTTTTATAGCTGAAATAAAATCATTGAACGGATAAAGTCTTTTAAGTTTTCCTAGAAAGGACATAACAATTTGATAGTAAAATAGTTTTATTTATTTCTTTTTGTCTTATAAATACTTTTCTGAACCGTCTATTACTTTATTTTTTTTTGCTTGGGTAAGTGCCTGCATTAAGTTTAAATAAAAGTAATAAAAACTAAGGAGAACTAAAGTTAAGTGACCTAATCTGCGGGTTCAGACTTGCAGTTCCGCCTCTAATGGAACAAAAAATATTAAAAGCTAAGATAATTATCCTTAGCTACCACTGATAAATTAAAAATCAAAAGATATCATAATATGGTTCCTAAGAAGAAAATCGTTCTTCCTGGCGAAGAAGTACTATAAAGTGGCTAAGCTACTACAACTGCAGACGAGGTCTGTTTGGCTTGGCACTCCTTGCCAGCTTTACCAGCTTTGCCAGGAGCAGAGCAGGAACAAAGACAATCCCAATCCCCCAGGATGCGTTGCTGCAGTATAATGGTGCAGTTGCGCCAGCTTGTTTGCTCTTGTCACACACTTCGATTGCGTGAGCAAGCATAGGAACGCGAAATTCCAGCTAAATAAATAAGAGCATGCCTTGGGGCTGTATATAAATATATATACGTAAGTATATCCGAGAATCGGTCTAGATAAAACCACGCCCACACACCAAATACGGAGCTCGAGTGGCAACAAGTGCAAGTGGGCTGATCGGCCAAAAGCAGATAACAAGTCAAGTGGTCTGAGAGAGCGTGCAGGTGCCAAGAAGCTGCTTTAAGTATTTTCAAACAGAAAAAAAATATTGCAGTTTAAATTTATAAATTTTATTTTCGGATAAGAATATATTTAACCAAGACAATAGAAAATGGGTCCCCATTCATAGAATGGTAAATTTTTCCAATCAAATAGTTACTCTCACAACATTAAAATACACACTAGTGACTATTTAATAATAGTTTTTCTATTAATTTACGTAACTATCCGTATAGGTAAAATGTACCAAAACTAAGTTTGTTAAATGTAAGTATTAAGCTTTAAAATCAGTTACTATTTCCTAAAGAAAGTCTGCGCTTCACAGTTTGTAAACTTTAAATCGATTTCTGCATTCTTGAATTTCTTATAATGTTCAAAGTCAGAAGTATAAAATACAAAATCCTTGATTTTTTTTTCTCTGTTTTGTGTGCGCTATATCGGTATGCCACCTGGAGAAACTCGTCTCCAGATTGTGCATGAAATCAAGCAGAATGAGAAACCAATTTGTGTGGAAAACACAGCAACAACAAGCACGGCGGGAAATTAAATTGGCCAAAGGGTTTAAGTTTTGCCACAGCTTCCACTTCCACTTCTCGACGGCGCTTTGCCGCGCATTTTGAAGGTGAAGTCAGTGGAAAACATTGCTAAAAGCAAACTTTTTATAAGTCTCTGGCAAGTCGATGGCAATAAATTTCATTGGTAACTTTCTTCTTTCGTTTTCATTTCGTTCGAGAGAAGGAATTTTAATTCAATCCCAGACGAGTGGAGAAAGGGTCAACAACATAACTAAGACTTAACCACAAAGAAGCACCTCAAAATTATTTAAACGGAAAAATAGTTAAAGCTCAACTGCAGAAGTTGAGTTGACCCGGCCAGCTGGCATTATGTGATCCGCTCTCGTTCCTCTCAGTTTTCCCCCCAAGTCTTCCCGGGAAAACTCACATAAATGAAGCCCCAAAGCCAGTGGGGAAATCCAGTGTGGCTGGGTGTTTTGGCCGTTTGGAAGCTAGTGTCAGTGTGTGTGTGTGTGTGTTGGCCATGGCCACTAAACGTGGCCGACTGCGGCTGAGTGTGCGACGCAGTGGAAATGCACTCGAATAAACACAAAATTTATATGAACACATGCAAGACAGATTAGGGAGCCAAAGGCAAAGGGGAGTGTTGGGTGTTACGAAATGGTAAAAAATGGTAGGACCTTCTATTCCCACTCCTTTGTGTACTTTTTTGCGGTTGCAAACAAAAGCAAATTTTGCGTTTTATAAATTCCTTTGGTTCATGGCTTTAGCCTGCTTTATGGCATACTTCCATTTATGCAATACGAAAACAGGCATCCAAACAAGCAAACAAACAAACAAACGGACGGGCAACTAGGAGCAACATTTCTGTTCTGTTTTCCATCTAAGCAAAACATTTAGAATAGCATACTTTTGCGAGCTTTGTCAAAGTTCTCCTGCTGCTGCTGCTGCTTTCACTTTTTTCCCATCAGAGAAAACCGAAACTTTTTTGATTGGCCAAAAAGTACGGCGTCTGTTTTCGGTTTTCGGTTTTATGAAATTGCAACTTTACAGGATGCCCCCCGGATGACAACAACAAGTGCTGCAAACTGAATCGAAAACACAGCCAGAAATTTACATCGTTTCCATTTCTCATCATCATCATCGTCGTCCAAAAAGGAAGCTCCCCTGACACTCGCCGATTTTTGGTCGCATAAAACTCAATTGAGTCGTTAAATGTACAAAAATGTGATAAATAATCAAATTACATGCATTTGATGTCTGCCCAGATTTTGGGCTTTAACATTTTACGACGCCGCGTTGAGTTTTCTCGTTGGCTTTCATTTTTTCCGGCTCATGCATCATTTATGGGGGCAATAGCAATCGCTGATTATTCGGCTCCGAGAGAGCTAATGCCTAGTGGATTTGCCATTTTTCAATTATAGCGCCAAAGTGGCCTTTGTCTGCTTCGCCGTGTGCCTGCGTGCGTACGTTTTAAATTTCCAATTAGATCCGAGAGCAAACTAATTTCATGCAAATTTGCTGGCGCAAAAAAAAAGGGTGGGTTTTCCTTGCACGTTTGCGAAATTTTCTCTGTCGAAATTATGCGTTGAGTAGTTGGTTTTAGCCGGGCAAAAACGTACCCTATGTTTGTTTTTTCTGCGTTCTTATTCGGCGAAAATTGCCGGCATCGAGAGCGAAGTTTTAGCACATGACTCGTGTGGGTTTCTTTCGGAATTTCCCCACTCTTTTTTGTTGCTCGATTTTTCCCCAATACCCTCTGAGTGCTGTCATTTAAACAGATTAATGTGCTGCCATCAGTGGCATGTCATGTTGTGCGTCTCGTCTCGTTTCGTTACGTTACGTTTCGTCGATGCTATTATGCATTTGATTGGCATTTGTTTGTGCACAGCAATCAAGCCATTTTACCACCCACTACCCGCTCCTTTTCTCATCCTCTCCTCTGGCCAAAACAAAGGCCTGTCAAAACCGACATATGCCGGCAGAGCAATTAATGCTGTTCCAGCTGCCCGGTTTGGCCAACAGGTAAAAGGTAACAGGCAGAGATGCAAATGTAGATCGTTTTAATTAGCCGTAAGTCGATAGCCGCAAAAAAGGGCCCTTTGATGTGCGGGATGCTGGCCATCTGGCGGTGGCTTCCCACTTTCGCTGACAAAGTCCAGCCGCATCAGTGGCCGGGAGTACGTCAGCATCGCGATGAGCATTAAAAGCCCGCCGAATGGGTGGCAGTCACAATCTTGGCGACACTGTCATTGGCATGTCAAGGGGCCATTTGATATGCCACTGACAGTTAGCACATTTGGCGCATTTTTTCCCCAAGCCCTCTTCTTTTTTTCCTTCTTTTTTCGCCTTTTTATACAGCCCTGACAGTGAACAAAGTGCCGATCCACCGGTGACAGCTTACAACATTTGAGTGTCTATTTTTGGGCGGCATTTAGTCAAAATCCGTTTGATCAAAGGTAAAAACACTTAAACACTTGGGCTGCGCGGTGGCTGCACTGAGAGATAATGTGGATACAATGTAAGAAACAATAGAAAAAACATTTAAAAAATTGGCAATACTAAGGTTTTAAGGTTTTTTGTTTCATTTTACTTTTTTATTAAATTCTTAGTAAAAGCATTTATTTCTAAAAATATTAGTTGAGAAAAATTAATTTAAATTAGGAAAATGTGAGCAATCAAATTCAAAAAAATCTTAAAAAAGAAAATACAATCTCTACAAATAAAAATAATTTAAATTAAACATTTTTTAATGAGCTAATTATCGGAACCAATGAATTCATAAGTAAATGACGTGTTATTTTGTAGAGTGTACGATTTGCTCTTAGCCTAAACATACGCGTACAAACTTATCGACTAAGTACGGATGCATTTGTATATCCGCTAATGCCAATCAATCCCCGCATCGCGAGTCGCAGCTCTCCTGTGTGCAGAAGCGATTCCGATTGCCATTGCATCCTTTGTAGTTGAAGGGCTTGCAGATGCCCTTGTCGAAGTACCAACGAGTTACGGCCTTGGTCTTGTCCTTGCTGCTGCAGAAGTTCCCCTCATTCCGGCCCACGTAGCAGTTGACATTGTCTGAAAGAAGGCAGTTTAATTTCAGATTAATCGCCGCCTGGAAATGCGCCACATCCACGTTTCGGTTGGTCAACACACGACTGGCCTCATTAAGTGCAATTACGTTCGTTTGTTTATACGGGCCTCGCGACAGACGACCGAATATTTCATAATTCCCTGGCCACGTTGTAGTCATAAGCGGAAAAATAGAACAATTTCGCAGACAAAATTGACTTTGGCCGGCCAAAAAAAAAAAAAAAAGCACAGCATGTGTACTAAACTTGGCAGGTTCCGAAACATTTTGCTCTAAATGCGAGTGCTGTAATTGCTATTTACCTTTGCAATAAATAATAACCAATACACTAAGGAACTTAATTGTTATTAGTTGGCCGACAAATTCACTTGTAAATAAAATTTCTGAAATTTAAGTAAATGTGCCTATTTATGCCGAATTTCATCTATCAGATAATCAAAACTGTGATTAATTACTCTTAGTTAATGGCATTTCTAATCATCAATTTTGATTACCTTCAGACCATTAAATCACTCCGCATGTTCAAATAAATTTAATAGTGAAAGATAAGAATATACTCAAGCTTATTATCTCGATTTCGATTATTTTAAATGAATGTAATTATATATTTCCGCTCAAAAGTTTTACTGAGTCTTTTTATATTATATTTTTTATAAGTGCTTGACATTAGAGTTAATTTAATAAATTTAAACTCTTGAATTAAATTTAAATTGATAGCAAATTATAATATTATTAACAATTTTTTTTTGATTTTCCGATTAAACCAGACTGAGTTTTAAATGTTTAAAAGGTACATTATTGGCTTAAATATGTGAGTATTTAAGGAACACTTTACATGAGTGGACTTTAGTTTTATAAATTCGAGAATCAGTATTAGCCGCGAATAATTGATTGTATTGAAAACCAGGAAAGTTAAAAATCCTCACTTTTTTTTTAGTATTTTATATTGACTGACGCACTAACTTTAAAATCTTAGGTTTTTTAATATTTATAAGTATTCTGTCAATTCATCAAATCGATTATTATTTTTTTATAGAAAAAAAAAAACAGAATCGTGGCATTCTTAGACACTTACTCAGCTCTTTGCATGACACCACTGCCCCATTGCCTGAACTGCTGCCTCCAAAGGCCTCGACTTCCGCGGTCTGTGTCAATAGGATGATGGACAGGAGACCGACGAGTGTCGCGCAGAGAAGCGTCAGATTGATTTTCAATTTCATGTTTTTCGCGCGGCCAACAATAGTCGAATGAGGAATGAAGCACCACCGGCAGCAGCAGCTGCTGTTCGTTGTACTCGCACCAGATGCGAACGGAGAATGCCGGATCGGAGAGTCGGAAAATCGGCAAATCGGCAATTGGAAAGAACTGAGACTGAGAAACTGCGACCAGCGGAGGCTGTTCCAATTTTTCGGTTTTTGGTATTTTTAAGTAATCTGCGCTACTTTCGGGTTGAAAAACGTGTCGCCGACCGATGCGAACCGATACGAACTCACTGGCTGCGCATTTTCGTATTCAGTTTATATACGAAATGCCGGAAATTGTTGCTAACTCGAACGCGAACTATTCGCCCAGCCGTTCCCATTCGCCCGATAGTTTCTCAGGCTCTTTCGAAAATTCGGAAAATTTTCGAGCATTGCCAGATTGACAATCGCCTGGTATGCTGCTCAATACGCATATCCAACCATCCGTCCATCTAGCAGCCTGTCCGTTCCGCCAATCGTCCAACGGACCGTGTCCATCAATGCTAAGTAGGAGAAGATATTTTTGGTCAACAAAATGTTTGACGCTCCCGAAACGCTCGACGAACGAGCGAAATTGCACTTAGTTTTATCGCCGGGGCGTTTACTTTGCGCTCGTTTGCATAATTTCCAACTTATTGAATATTTTCCACATAATTAATTTTAATTATTTGTGTTTCTTTCAGGCATTTGAATTAATTTAGATAAGAGGACGGACGAAGAGGTCGGGGTCTCAAAAAAGGGTCGCGCACTGCAGTCACAAGGGATGGCTCTTCCATTGTCTCTAATTACAATGGGCAGCATTTGTTTTGGGTTTTTTCTGCTTCCCTTTTTTCCCCCGATTCCTTGGTTTATTTCATTTTTGGTTTCTTGGCAAGTGGCTTTGGCATCGGCTCTCGACTTTTCCCGCCTTTCCCTTTTGGTTTTTTCGGTGGCCTCTATTGCTGCGGGTCGAGCGCAAAAATCAATCTTCATTTAAAATTCAATTTAATGCGCTGCGTGCATAAAAGAAGTTCCCCGAGCGCCTTGGTCATCATCAAGCGTATTGGATTCGCCGGGAGAAAATTAGAAAACAATTGTGTATGTATTTTGGACGAGCTGACTCATCAAAGAGAATTCGCGAAATGGTGTCGCCTGTCGCGAGTGCCTCACAATGGTATTATACCCGACGCGAAAAAAAGAAGGATTCCCGGGGTAATTCACGTTAGCCAAAAACTGGAAGGCACTGACCAGTGGATATTTTAAACTGCTATAAAGCACTAAAAATAAACAAATATAAAGTTTAGAAAATCACCTGAACAGAAACTTTTTTTTGAGATAAAAGAGTTTTATAAAGTACATTTTCTTCAGAAGCAAACTTAAGAAAAATGCGTATTACTTATTAGAAAAATGTAATTCTTATTTGTTCAATTTATTACCAACCCTTTTTTTTGGACTCAGTGATGGGTGAATCATGAAAATTACAGCAGGCGGAAGACTGAAACTCCAAAGGGGATGTGCTGCAAACACAAATCGGAAGTCTTAACTAAAAACGGTATACGGTAGCAGGTATACACGGGGTCAGTCGAGTGGAAGAGCGGATGAAGAAGCTTTCCAGCTGGGGCATCAGTGCGTATACGTGATGTATCAGCGCGAGTAAATCAATACTCAAATGTGCGGGGCTTCCTAATCAATCGGGATCGGGATGTCAGAAAATCGGAACAAATTATAAAAAACAATGCGAGTATAAAGAGCGGTCCCATCGAGTTTATCCTCTTGGCCACGTTTCGGGTTTTTTCGGCCACAATTTCTGATTTTCCACTTGTTTTGACCAATTTGGCGATTTTGTGATTTGTCGTCTTTAATTTCCACACAATTTTTGGACGCACTCAAGCAAGAGATATTTAATGGCTGCACTTGAACGTGCCGAAGGACAAAACCAACCGAAAAAAAATTGATAGAGTCGATTGAATGAGAAGGGTGGGTGCGGGAAGGGGGTAGAAGAGATTTTGCAGCTTGAAATTGAGTGAAAAGCACTGACGTTCCTCGTATATTGAGAATATTCTTTGCATAGATTTAACCTTTTGTTGATGCACCTGCCTTCCGTTCCGTTCCTCCACTTCCTGCCAAATCGTTCAGTTCCATAGTCGCCCGCTTTGCGCTACTTTGGAATTATATTTTTCTCAATCCGCTTTCGTTCGTTTTTGCCTCAAAGAAAAAAAAAACGATTTTCCACCTCGCTTTGGCCAACCTCAAATTGAGGAAATGAAACATTTCAATGATTTGCTTCCGGCTTTTCCTTTTGCGCCACCCTTCGTGCAACGATTCATAAACAAAAAGAACGAGTTTTGTTTATTACCTTTAAGGCGCTTTGGACAACTTCTTGACCGCCACGCAAAAAGTTGAACCTTAATAAATTATTCAAATTACAACTTTGATCTGTGCTGGGGGGATTGCACAAGAATTGCACAAAAGTGCTGCTTGAAAAGTTACACTAAGTTGCAGTCAAAAGAGCAATAAAGTAAAGCGAGTCGAGAGAAAGAAGTTGGAAGTAGAAATTAAATGTAAATTGGCAGTCAAAATTATTAGGAAATATCACTTAAATAATTAGAAAAATATTTTACATTAAATTAAAACTGTTTCTTTCAATTAAAAATTGTAAAATTGTCTTTAATAATTTGTTTAGCAGTGCTATTGATTTCACTGGCATGAGTAGCAATTTCTTGCAGTGACACTGAACATTTTGCCAGGCATTTCCCGAACAATGGGGCAAGGACTATGACTATGTTCATCGTTTTTACTGGCTGCGTTCTGTTTTTTTAGTTAAAATTTCGCAATTTGCTATAAAAATTCCAGTTTTGCTTTTCGGAATTCAGTTGGAAGAGTGGAGCGTACGCCCCAGCTAAGCTTCAGATTCAGCATCAGCTTCAGCAGAAGGCTTGTGGCCTTGCGGCTTTTCCGGCAAAAGGAAAAGCGATGCGAAAGGATACGCATCCTCCTCCTCCTCCCAAAGGGCTGAGCTATCAACCGGCAATTATTATGCGTCCTGAACTGCACGTGCCTCATATAATCTGGTTGTATGGGTGTATCTGAGTGTGTTCGAGTGTGTGTGTCGGGGGTGTGAGGGCGAGTGTGTTGTTGCTGTTGTGGCTGCTGGGGCGTGCCGACAATAATTTAATATCAAAACATATTTCACTTGCATGCCGAAGAAGCTGAGGAATGCGCTCAAAAGCTTAACGGAGTCGAGCCAGCCGAGCAAGTCGAATGGAGGCGATGAAGCGTTCATCTTGTCCTTTTCTCCACCATCTCGCCCCGATTCCAGTCTCGCTCTTTCTCACTATCCCCCTCTCTCTCTTTCTGTCGCTTGTGTTCTGTGTGTCGCCTCCTGTGTGTATCGTAATTATTTTAAAGCCACCAAGGAGCCTTGACAATTTCCAAAAAATAATTCTGCCCCGGCCACAAAAATGCGTCTTCTTATGTGAAGTTATGGCACGACCTGCTGCAGCAGTTGTCCTCGCTTGCACTGAAAAAAAACAGTTAATTTTAACATTTAAATGCAAATATTAAATGTATATATTAAATGCTACAACTAATATTTAAAGTTAAAATCAGAAGTAAAAAGAAAAAAATTTTTTTTAACGTTTTTACATACCATTTGGCTTTTAACAATTCATATAGTTTATTATTGGTTGGTTAATTTAATATTTTTTATTCTTTATGATGTGAATAAAGATTATTTTTATCTTATTTGACAATATTTTTCTAACCAATATTGAAAGTTGGTATTTTAAAACAGTATTTTTATAACATTTATGAAATGATAATATATCTTGATATGAAATAAGGTAGAAATGAACCTATTTAATAATAGGTTAGATTAAGCTTAAAGCTAAATCTATTGTTTATTTTTAGTTTGAAAATAAGTTGCTTCCTGATACTTTAAAATTATAGTTTTAGTTACTTTTAAAAGATCTAAATTGGTTTTAAAGGTGAAATCTAATTCTCCGAGTGTAGGGATGAGAGTATCCGCAAAGGAACGGGCATAAGGATAAGCAACGCCGTTGTTGATTTCGCTCATTTCCGACTCAAATGGATTTTGATTGTCTGCCCTGGCCTCGGAGTTGGTCTTGTTCTTGGTTTTGGTCCTGGTCTTGGACTTGGCTGCCCCTGCCCGTGATGCCTTCTACGTGTCTGCCATTTGTCTGCGCTCATTTCGGCCAGCTCATCCCGGAGCTGCGGATTCGGAGGCTTCGTAAGAACGGCCAAATGCCAAATGACTTTCTTTTCTTGGCCATTGCCTCGTTTGGCTGTTGCTTCGGGCCCATTTAGTTTTATTGTAATGATTTCTATTACCACACGACCACCATTCCGTGTCCATAGTTTAGCTGCAGCTGCAGTTGCCAACTGCCAACAAACCAACTGCCAACTCCCATCAGCCAAGAGCCAACGGCCAATGGCCAACTCCCCGCCGCCATTTCTTAGCTCCCAATGGACTGTTGGCCGTTTACGTGGCCATCGCGCTTAATGAGTAGTTATTTCCGCTTGTATTTCTTGATCAAGTCGTGCATGGCGCGGCTTTGGCGGCAGTTAAGGCTAATGCCGGGACACGTTCGCCATTCGCCAGTCACCATTCGCCATTAATTGCCGCCTATTCTATCCCGTTTCATTAACCTGCTGAACAGCGCTACATAATTGAATTTATGTCATAATTTCCCAGTTGGCCACAATTTTGTCAATGAATTTATGGCATAGTTTTGACGTTTTTTTGCGGTTCAGCTTGCACAAAGCTTTGAAATTTATGATATTCATTTTGCAGCTGTCACAACAATAGATAGTAAAATAAGTTAAAAGCGTGGACATGACAGAAAAAAGCGTAATTGTTAATGTTTTTCTCATTCTTCTGTGTGCGCTCACTGCTCTCTCTCTTTGCGAAACGAATGAAAAAGCATAATTAATTTTAATGCGCTTTTCCGCTGCTTTGTTTTTACTTGCTTATCATTACCATCAGCGGATGGATTTCATTATGCAGATGATGCAGTTTTAGCCAAGGACCGAGGACTATTAAACAGAAGCAGAGTCCGAAACAGAAAATTTCTTTATTCAACTTCAACCACTTTGAGACCATTGACACGAAATCCGAAATTCGTTTTCGAGCAATTCCAATGTGTACTCGCTGC